GATGATTCAGACAACGAAGCTAATCCATTCGCTCCCCTCCAACACACACACGACAACAACAACTCTGACTCAGATGAAGTTTCCTCTTGGAAAAAAGCTTCAAAATCGAAATTCCTCTGTTCAATGGATCGACTATCGCAGAAGAATTGCTAGACTGGTTTGTAACTGTAGAGGAGATTCTTTAATTTAAAGACATTCCACTCGATCGATGTGTTCCTTTGATCACCATACGTTTCCGAGATAGAGCAGCAGCATGGTGGTCTCAAACAAAAATCACTAGAGCTCGCCTCGGTAAACCAAAGATCGTGACATGGAGTAAACTAAAGCGAGAGATGCAAAGGAATTTCTTACCCTACAATTACTATCAGCTAATGTTTCAGAAGTTTCAAAATCTGAAACAAGGAAATAGATTTGTCGATGAATACGCCACAGACTTTTTCAAGATGATTACTAGAGTTGAAACCCGCGATACAGAACAACAAACAGTGATGCGATTCATCGGTGGTCTTCGCCAACAAATTCAACTCACCCTCAATCTCTTCCGCCCTCAGACCATCTCCGAAGCCCATCAACATGCCTTAACTGTCGAAACTCAGCTCCGCGGTGGTTTCTCTTCTTGGAGTTCTAATCGTCAAACACGCTCTACCCCTACAACAAACGCATCTACAGCTCCTTCTCCTACAGATAATACCACACCAAAACAAGACTTGGCTATAGTACCAGCAGATTCGAAACAACCACGACCAGGTGGACTACGTTGTTTTGGTTGTGGCGAGCTTGGTCACAGACAAGCAGCATGTCCCTCTCGCAACCGACGTGGTTTACTACTTGATGCTACTGGACGTGATGTAGAGGTTATATACGATGATATTCCGGACGAAGAGACTGAAGAGCTCGAAGCTGATGAAGGTACACTTCTGATGATTCGGCGAACATGTTTCTCTCCAAAGACACAACAGGAGTTTCCCCAACGTAAGAACCTATTCTCATCTCGATGCACAATCAACGGCAAGGTGTGCACATTCATTATCGACTCCGGCAGCAGTGAGAATGTAATCGCAGAATCAGCAGTTCCTAAACTTAACCTTGTTTCCGAATCCCATCCATCTCCGTATAAGCTCGGCTGGTTACACCAAGGAACGGAGCTAATGGTCACAAAACGAACTTTGGTCCAATTTTCAGTAGGAAATTCTTATAAGGACCAAGTTTATTGCGATCTTGTCCCGATGGATGCATGCCATATGTTGTTGGGACGACCGTGGGAATTCGATCGACGAGTTATTCACGATGGCTTCCTTAATACCTACACGTTTCGTTTCAACGACCGCACATTTACTCTCAAACCAACTACTCCATCCATTGTGGAACAACACTCAACGCCACCTGCTACGTCCAATCCAATCCTCTTATTAACAAGAGCCGCCTTTTCTGCTGAAGCACGTACTACAGAGCACATATTCCTTCTCATGGCCTTACCATCTTCACCGTGTCTTGATCAAGCTATTCCACCACCATATAGACAACTCATCACCGAGTTTGCTGACGTCTTTCCGCCAGAACTTCCATCCCAGTTACCACCTCTTCGACATATTTAGCACCGCATCGATCTTATGTCGGATGCTGCCCTCCCAAATCGTTCTCATTATAGAATGAGCCCGACAGAACACGAAGAACTGCGTCGCCAAGTTGAAGATCTTGTCGCCAAAGGGTTCCTTCGTGAGAGTCTCAGTCCATGTGCTGTCCCGGCTCTATTAATACCAAAGAAAGATGGGTCTTGGCGTATGTGCGTTGATAGTCGCGCCATTAACAAAATCACAATCAGATACCGCTTTCCGATCCCACGGCTGGACGACTTACTTGACCAGATTGGTACAGCCACGATTTTCTCTAAACTTGATCTACGCAATGGATATCATCAGATTCGCATTCGCCCTGGCGATGAGTGGAAGACGGCATTTAAAACCCGGGAAGGTCTGTTTGAATGGCTAGTTATGCCATTCGGCTTGTCTAACGCACCAAGTACTTTTATGCGTGTGATGAATGAAGCTCTCCGACCCTTTATCGGTAAATTTGTTGTGGTTTACTTCGATGATATTCTGATTTTTAGTAAAAGCGTGGAAGAACATCTACAACACTTGCGTCTCGTTCTTATGGTGCTGCGTTGAGATCAACTATATGCTACTCTCAAAAAATGTGAATTCGGCTCTCCACATATCCACTTTCTTGGATATATTGTTTCCTCTCAAGGCCTTTCTGTGGATCCTTCTAAAGTTTCAGCTATCCAGTCATGGCCACAACCGACAACTATTTCTGAGATTCGAAGCTTTCATGGTCTTGCATCGTTTTACCGACGTTTTGTGCCTCAGTTTAGTAGTTTGATGGCTCCTATAACAGATTGCATACGCACCAACACATTCTCTTGGACTGATGCAGCATCACATGCGTTTGTTACCATCAAAGATAAGCTCAGCTCGGCACCTATCCTTGCATTACCAGACTTCAACATCGTCTTTGAACTTCACTCGGATGCATCTAAGACTGGCATAGGAGCAGTCTTGAGTCAACAATCTCGACCTATTGCCTTTTTTAGTGAAAAATTAGCTGGAGCTCGTTATCGTTATAGTACATATGACATCGAGTTTTATGCTATCGTCCAAGCTATAAAACATTGGCGACATTACTTGTTTCACAAGGAGTTTGTGTTATATACTGACCATGATGCTCTGAAACATCTCCACAGTCAAAAGAAGGTCTCATCTCGTCATGCTTCATGGATCGCATATCTGCAACAGTTTAACTTTGTCATAAAGCATACGACTGGTTCTTCTAACCGCGTAGCAGACGCATTAAGTCGGAGACATCTTCTCCTCACGGTTCTACACACGGCTGTGACAGGATTGTCTTCTTTGATCGGACAATATGAGGATGATCTATTCTTTGGTCAAGTCTTTCCTAAAGCTGCTGCAGGTTTATCTACTGAGTATACGATTCAAGAAGGTTATTTGTTCCGTGGAAACCAACTCTGCGTTCCTCAAGGAAGCCTGCGCCTTCGCCTTATCACGGACCTGCATAATGAAGGTCACGTCGGCCGCGACAGAACTCTAGAGTTAGTCGCTGCTTCTTACTTTTGGCCCTCTCTCCGTAAAGACGTCTCTCGTTTCGTCGAACGATGCGTTACTTGCCAGCGAGCCAAAGGTACAGCGTCTAATGCGGGTTTTTATCTCCCTTTGCCTATCCCTACTCAACCGTGGACCGATATTAGTATGGACTTTGTTCTTGGTCTTCCTCTCACTCAACGGGGTTTCGATTCTATCTTCGTCGTGGTTGACCGTTTCTCCAAAATGGTGCACTTTATCCCTTGTAAGAAGACCACAGATGCAGTCCAAGTTGCGATTTTTTTCTTCGTGACATCTACCGTTTACATGGCTTGCCTTCTTCGATCGTATCTGACCGAGATTCGCGTTTCCTTAGTCATTTTTGGCGGTCTTTATGGAAGATGCTCAACACCAGTTTGGATATGAGCTCTGCTTATCATCCGCAGACAGATGGTCAAACTGAAGTTGTCAATCGCTCACTTGGTAATCTGTTACGATGTCTGGTCGGTGATTCTATTAAGTCTTGGGATCAGCGACTTCCTCAATCTGAATTTGCTCATAATCATGCTGTTAATCGCAGCACTGGTTTTAGCCCTTTTCAAGTAATCTATGGAATGGTACCAAGAGCCCCAGCGGACTTGTCTCTTTTGCCAGATCATACACGTCACCAAGGTGAGGCTGCGACTTTTGTTGATGCTATTGCAGACGTTCACGAGAAGACAACAGCAAATCTTTCAGCTTCGCCATCTCGTTATAAAGCTGCGGCTGATTCACGTCGACGTCGTCTTGTTTTCAACATTGGTGACTTGGTTTGGGCTGTGCTCACTCGGGATAGAATGCCGGCACATCTGTATAACAAGCTCCGAGCAAAGAAAATTGGCCCTTTGAAGATCCTTGAACGTATTAATGACAATGCATAGCGCGTTGAGCTTCCTTCGGACATTAACACTTCGGACGTCTTCAACGTCAAGTATCTGTCCCCGTTTCTCCCTGCAGATCCAGCTGATTCGTGGTCGAATCCTGTCAACCCCGGGGGACCTGATGCAGGGGCATCTTCGACAACTTAGGGTTTCTATTATGGCTTTTACTTTTTCTACAAGTTTCCTTTTCTTTAGTTTTTAGCTTTATCCTTTATTCTATGTTATCTAGGAATATTGCAGGTCCTATTCTAAGATGATTTGTGTCTTATGAATAGTTATATATACAAGAGCTTTGAGGCTCTAAAATCTCACGTTTTGATTTAATAGAAAGCTTTGCTTTATACCTTGTCTTTGATTTGATTAAATTCATCAACACAAGAAGTTTGGCCTCAAGATATTCATTCGAATCTCTTGATCGAGCAAAGGATTGTCTCTTTCGAACACTCTTCGTTAGATTGATCGTCCAAAGTTATCCCTACGCTGCGCCAATTTGTAAACTCTTGGTTCATATAAAAGGGTATTAGGTCGTGAGCATGATAGACTGAAGATACGATGGAGACTTATTGTTCTGTCACCACCTCCGGTTTGTTAGTGGTATCCTTTGTTCTATTGGAATTGCTAGACTGAGTTTGACTCTAGGGATTAGTTCTCCACATCAGAGAGATACTATGGGTTATTATCAGTCTTCTGTCATTCTATTGCTTAGGATTCTTGAGTGATTGTGAGATTAGAAACGAGTGATCAGATTCGTCATTTAGAATGTGTTGATTTGCCTTGAATCGACTGTTAATCTCAACATTAATCTAAGCAGAAAGTTTACAAATTTCACCAGCAAGTGACCCCAAAAACGTCTCTTCCTATAAATGATTTTAGTTTTGTATTTTTTTTTATCATAGCAAATCAGCAGGCATATATAACCAGTATAACATTATTCAGAGCTGAAGTTTTCATATTCAAACAATAAAATAAATTCAAACCTTCAATGCTATGTCATATGAATTTTCTTCTTTTTCTTTTTCTTCTCCATTAAACTTTCTTTTAAAGCAGATAATCTAGGAAGACACCGATGATGGTTATTCAAAGATTTATCCTTTTCAGAATCTTCGATGTCACTGAGCTCACCAGAGTGGTCACCAGATGATTTTTTACTTTCTTCACTTTGACTTTCTAATGATTCTTCAAAAATTACTTCTCGATGTTCTCTTACACTCTCTCTAAAAAGCTCAGCCAGTTTCTTCCTTCGTGGGGCTGGAGACTGCGAAAACAATGATGCTCGAGGCTTTTCTTCTTCGAACAAAGGGTTGTGAAAACGAGGAAATTTCTCTGAAAAACTGCATTTTGGAGTGTTTCCACGTGATGGTGTGAACTCTGCACGATCAAGAACTCAAATCTTAAGTTTACATAAACTTATTAACGAAAGTTATTACGCTTCCCATTACACAAATCTAATATGTTTGTTCTAACATTTTTGAGGTGAATGTAAAAGAAACCAAAGTATTATGGATTTATAAGAAAAAAGTGGCATCTGAAATTCTAATATTAGTTAGAGACAAATGAGATAGTCAACGTACCTCCATTGACGCTGAAGAAATCATCTTCAGAATCGGATTGAAGCCATTGATGTGTATCAAAGAAGGCTTCATCTTTACTACTTCCTGTTACATTAGACAATTTACAAACTATCAAGATTTTCATAAGAAGAAAAAGCCATTTCAAGTGTAAGAAATCACGTTTAAAAGCTTTCACCTTTTGACACAAATCTTACATCACTATAAGAACTAGTCCATTTTCTCGAATAAAGGAAATGGAATAGACCCATCAAATTACAACTAGAAATTCACAATGACACATAATTTTATATATGCTGAAGTGGGAAATTGAGGAGTTGAATCATTATTTATCAGCGATTAGTGGAATAAATCTCTCTATTCTAACGGGAACTTAAGTCAATGACCGGACAAATCTATTTAAGAACTTGACTTGAATTTGGACAAAACTCAAAAAGAAAACTTATTCATGGAAACAAAATCAATGAAAAACTGTTTTTGAATAGAATTAATTATGTATTGCCTTACTAGAAACAACTCAATTATAATATTTTCAAACTATTAATCGTATCAACTCATAGAGATAACAAAGTAATCATATATCAATCACATTTAATACGGTTTATTTAAAAGGAAATGAAATGAAATCATCATCAAAACAGGTACCGAAGCTTCTCTTAGAAGAGGAATACGACAAGCGATATTTCACTTGAGTTACACCGTTATCCACCGTTGGTGTTGCCGCCTGAGACATATTCTCCTTCATCGGCGATTCTGATGGTAACATATATAGCAAGTTAGCAAGACACACGTTTTATACAAATGGTGTATATTATATATGAACATATAAGTAACCAATAAACTGAAACGGTTTGTAAATTGCAATGGTAAAGAGTTTAAATCAAACATGCATCACGTAGAGATACATCATATAAGAGCAAAGTAATACCAGACATGTTCTTAGTAGAGGGAGACGTAATAATAGGTTTCTCGGGAACATAACCGTTCTCCTCCGCCTTCTCCGGCGAAATATCCACCGGATTGGAGTCAATGTCTTTCATGGGAGATTCGAGGATTGCCATAGTTGATGCTTTCATGAACTTCTTCTTCAGTGGACCAGTTTCTGTTCTTTTAACTCAAGTATACGCACTGACGCACGTTCCTAATTCGATCAAGAACACAATCTTTTAGAAGATTCGAAAATTTGATTTGAGGATTGGTGTTTAATATGTATTGCTTCGCACGCAGTTGGAGAATTTGGCCGGCTGATTATTATAACTTTAATCGGACAGGCGTTGTACATACACTCGGCTCGTGCGGGAAGAGAGAGGCGATATCTTTTTCATTTCAATTCACATTGAAATCGTGCGAGCTGTAACTATTGATGGGGCATATGTCATAATGATGCGGCAGCACTTAGATATTAACTTTGAGTCTTTGACCTTTTCTTGTTTGTTTGTAAAAAGGCTTAACTTTGACTATATGTTGGTAAAGAGTTAAAGACTTTTCCTAATTATTCTTTTTTTTTTGGTAATCTCTTAACCTTTTTTTTTAACTCTGGATTGTATTATTAAGTTATTTAGGCAAATAGTTTTACACAATGAGAATTGGCAAAAACAATATAGAAAAGGAATACACCAGTATCCATGGTGTACAAAGTAAACTAACACATCTATTAGCGTATGGATGACTAAAAATTTCCATGTGAAAGCTCTATATTTGCTTCTGAAATAGTTGAATCTCATACGAGATAATTTTTATATTAATTCAAAAATACCACGCTTCAGACTTATTTGAGAACCATCATTAAAGTAATTATATTCAAATATGACATTAAATAATCATAGAAGTATAAAATATTTTAAATTTTTATATGTTATTTAACCCTATTTTTATAATCATACAATTTCTTATACTAAATAAAATTTTCAAAATTTTATATAACTGTTTTTTTTTAATTATGAACTTTCAGTTCTAATACATTTTCTTTTCTTTTGATATATACAAATCTTAGAAATTCTCTTAATTTTATTTTTGATAGTTATAAAATTTTATATCAGTTTTTTTTTTAAAAAGTCATATAAATTGATTTAGTATATTTTAACCAAAACAAAGGTAAATTTATCTAAGATTATAATTTTAAATATATACATCTTTTTTATTAAATAGAATTTTAAAAATAAATGTTTATTTTATCTTAATTTAACTTACTAAAATTTATAATCAAATATTAGTATGACAATAATAAATTTTATAATATTAACAAAATTTTGTGAAGCGGGTTCACCGCAGAGGGGCGAGACAAGGCGAGTTCACTCCTATTTGTCTTGAAATGCATGTGAACCTGGTCTAACAACCTTTAATGATGCTGCTCTAAATTAGTTTAAGCTCAAAACATATAAAACCAGATGAATTTAGGCCGAAAAATCCAAATATTTTACCTTAAATAATTAAGTCCAGACCCGCTAATATATAGTGCTAAACAGGATTGATATACTGTATAAGTTTGAGATTCAGACTTGACTATAACTAATATATATATATGTGATTTTTTTCCGGATAAACGACCTATTTCCACACGATAACTATCGTATAGTATCAGATCAACACGAACTTTAGACCTCGTCTCAATTGCACAAAATTAAACTATATTAACTTATTTCTCTCCTAAACGAACAATCGAAACTCGATTCCACACAAACGAAGATTGAAATTGGTTTTAATGGTTTATAACATTAACCGATATTAAACCCAATGGTTTCAGGTGATACTGGTACAACCTGACCCATACAAAGAGATTATAACCCGACTTGAATCTCTATTAATCTTCACCAAATGATTTACCCCTTTTGAAACCCTAAAAAAAATATAAAATCAGAGAACAAAACAAAGAGAGATACCCAGAAAAGATGAGTAATTCATCTGGAAATTTGTTTGAAACCACTGGTCGGATCATATTAGGTTTACTTAGGTTAGCCACTAGTTTAGTTTATAAAAAAAAAGGGTCGACGATCTATTTCCCCACGAGAAGTATCATATAGCACCAAATGTCCACGGAACTATGACCCCGTTCTATTTACCCCCGAGAACAAAGTTCGCAACCTATTTTCCACCAAATTTGGTTTAGTTATGATTTCTGAAAACCGAATTTCAAATCTCCACTCTCATATAATAAAACCGAGCAAAACTAAAACCAAGACAAAATTAAAAACCCGACTAAACCCTTATCTAGATCAGAATAGTAACCCGCTCCAACATTCGAACTTAAAATATCCTACTAATTGAATCTTAATCCGGTTAGTCATTGGCTTAACATGATCTACGGTTTGTTTATAAACAGTAAACCAATAAAAATCGATTTTGTGGGTTTTTAGATTTCGATCTTTATAATTGTGGGGAAATATCGATATAACTTTAATTTGGTGGGAAAATAGGTTGCAAACTTTATTTTCATGGATAAATAGAACGGGGTCATAGTTCCGTGGACATTTGGTGCTATACGATACTTCTTGTGGGAAAACAGGTCGTCGACCCAAAAAAAATACTAAACTTACTTTAAACCGCCATTTATTGATATTAGTTCGTCTTTCAAACTTCAGAGGGAATCAAGTTCGATCTTTCATTTTAGGAAGAAATATGTAAATATAGTTAAACTGTATGCAATTAGGACGAGATCCAATGTTTATGTGGATTTGTTACTATACGATAGTTATGGTGGGGAAATAGTTCATTAACTTTTTTTTTTCCTTTTTCTTTGGACTACACTATACAAGAAATCCATCTTCAAATCATTATATACCATCAACAGAAAACAACCTTACAATATTACTTTTAAAAAGTTTATGAAAGTTGCTCTTTTGAAAAGTGAGACTTCTTATGGTGAATTCACCCTGCTCTCTCACCGACAAGAATCAAACTGAAGTGTTGATAAAGTGTTGAAGTAATAATAATATCGATCAAGTAGTTATCAGCGTGCTAATATAAACATCACCAATAACACAGCAACCAATATGAAGTTAAAACTTGGCTCTATTTGAAGCTTAAGTTTCATTACATCAGACATTGGCGTTGGGATTGTCCAAAAAATATTCAAATCAACACTACTTCACATTTCACGTGGACAGAAGAAAAGTATCAGCCTTCCTTTGGCTTATTACATCTCTCAAGCTTCTTCAAGCTTAACTCCTCTAAGTTCACCATAATGTCCGTGCAAGCCACTGTAACCGTAACGTAAGAAGCGAATAATCTAACGAGTCTCTACAAGGCAGGAGGATTCCTTCGTGCAATGTGGCCATAAAGGCGACAGCTCGACGACTTTCCCTATGATGATGAGCGTTGGTGACACCAAACCCGCTGACTGAATCTCAGTCGCAAAGTCTTTAAGCTCAGCAAAAACCTGCATCATCCCAAACAAAACCTTTAAGAAATCGAAAGTAACGTCCCAGAGAAAAAAAAGAGAGTATATGGTTGGTTTGCTTACATAACGCTGTAGAGGAGTGGTTCCACGCTCAACCGCAACAGCTGGTGTATCAAAAGGTAGACCGTGGTCCATCAGTTTCTGTGCAAGTGAAGGTAACGTTCCCAAACCCATATAAATAACAAGTGTTGTGTCCGGATCAGCTGCATTCTCGGCAACAAAAAGAGGGTCGGTCCCTCCTTTCCTAGAATGACCAGTGAGGAACCTCACACTAGTTGCAACCCCACGATGAGTCAAGGGAATCCCAAGCTCGGCTGCTATCCCTGACGCGGCAGTAATACCTATAAGCAATCATAAACTTCCCGTAAGATAAGATTCAGCATAATTAGCTCAGTCACAAGTCACAACAGTCATATGAGTTCCAAAAGAATGCCAGAGGATCAGTTGCTTGAAGGAGAGTGACAACAAGAAAGAACATTACCAGGGATAACTTGAACTCGGATCCCTTGCTGTTGCAGAAAGTCCATTTCTTCCCCGCCTCGTCCAAAAACCTGAAACATCAAATCAAAGTTGCAACACATAACTACAAAGGGAGAAAGGAACAGAGAGAGTATATAAAAACGCAGAAAACAAGAGCTTACCAAAGGATCTCCACCTTTAAGCCTCACAACAGTAGCACCAGCTTCAGCAAAATTTAAGAGTAGTTCATGTATCTCCTCCTGGAACAACAACTTATTAATTCAGACTCAAAAATCATAAGTTGTTAAAATCTAATAATATTAAGGGCATACCTGAGTCCTGCTATGATAACCAGCAGTTTTGCCGACATAAAGAAGCCTAGCATCAGGAGCAACTAACTCCAAAACATCATTAGAGACAAGCCTGTCGTAAAGCAAAAGATCCGCGCTTTGAATGACTCTGACAGCTTTCAAAGTCAAAAGCTCAGGATCTCCTGGTCCTGTCCCAACTAAAAACACATCTCCTGGTCCGCAATCACCGCCTCTGCATCCCTTCTCTCTCTTCTCTCTCAGAACCTCCAAGAGCTTCTTCAGCTCCGGAAGCTGCGATGCGATGTCGTTTTCTCTAACAAAGACTTCATCTTCTTGATTCGACGGTGGTGATGGAGAAGGAGATGGAGTGGATGACTTGTACAGCCACTGATCTCTCTCGTATCTCTCAACAGAGTGCTTCTCCGTGAAGGGCGAAGAAGAAGCAGTGATCTGGGTTTTGTAATGGAGAGAAGAGATAGGAGTATGGTTTGTCGGATTGGTCTTCTTCCAATTTCGAAGATTGGATGAGAAACTGGGAAACCGTTGGACAAGAGTCATTTTAGACAAGAACACACGCTCAAGTTTCACAGATTTAAGACAGAATGTGTAAGAGGAAGGGTCGTTGCCACCAACTTGAAGGCTGCTTTTTTGCACATATGCGTGAAAGGAGACATTTTTATAATCCGAATTGATTTGTACTTTTCTGATGACGAAAGGGCACCCCAGCGAAGATTACTAACCCTTTGATGTGTTGAAGGGGACTGTGACTCTGTATACTCTCTCGGAGCTAAAGCCGAGGGCAATTTAGTAATTTCACGGGTCGCCACCACCCATAAACTATTTCTGGCAAATTTTAATAATAAATAAATAGCTCCCAGCTTTCGATTTTGCTTTTGCCTTCCCACGAGTCAATCAAACACTTTGACAGACCAGAAACCAATAATAGACCAATACCTGCGACTACGTGTCGGAGGAATCGGTAATTGAAGTGAAATCATAAAGGCGGGGGAAAATCACCGGCGGAGGAATTGATTCGATCCCTAAAGAAGATAGACTGACATATACAGATTTGGGCTTATGAGAGCTTTTTAACCCTTTATTGGGCCTTAAGTAACGGCCCACTTTGAAAGTCCAAGCAATGCCACGTTGGGTAAATGGTCGCTATCAGTTACGTGCCACGTTGACTTTTAACTGGACACGTGCTGTACAAAATGACCTAGCGGTACAAAACCCTTTTTTCACCACCGCTATTATGTTTGAAACATTGAGATTTGAACTGAAGAGTGGCCAGCTCGCAATATGTGATCCATTATCTACTTTCTTATGTTTTTTTTTACTGAATTCTTATCTATGTTTTTTGTCGAAATATTTACTTATATTTTTGTAAGATCTAGTAAATAAAAAAAACACCATATTAGCGTTAATATTTACCATTATCAGACGTATAATGTATATATCTTTCGTCACCATTTGCACTTTTTCCCCTTATGCTGTCTGATGAAAAAGGTAGGAAATATGCACAGTAAATAAATATGGAAACATATCTGTAAATATGAAATGCATTGTAAATAAAGTTTGCCTTTATGTCACCACCTAATTCAAAATTAATTAAATGTACTATTTTTGTAATTCCTATAATAATATAGGGGAAATAAAATTGTAATATTAAGTTTTTAAATTTGTAAAGCCAATCGAAAAACGGATTAAGCGTGGCTTAACAAGAAGATAAGGAGAAAACAAAAAACAAAAAATTAATAAAAAGTTAATTGATCTGTTTTCAAGAAGCTTGTCTCGTACACCGCATGACCGTTTCTTTTCCCCATTTCTTCTCCACTTTCTTCCCTTTTTATTTTATTATTTGTATTCAATTTCTTTCGCTCCCTCCTCGCTTCAGTAGTTCAGTATCAACGAAGCTTCGTCTCTTTATATAAATTAGGTCAAAACCCAGAATCTGGGAGTGAAAGTCAAAGTCAAATGTTTCACTCGCAGAGCCTCGTGTCGAGGAAAGGACCTCTAGGAGCGATTTGGGTGGCTGCGTATTTCGTGAAGAAGCTAAAGAAAGCACAAGTCAAAGACACTCATATTCCTTCCTCCGTTGGTATCTCTCTCACTTCCTTCTTTTCGCTTCTTTTCTGAAAAGGTTTAGACTTTGGGGGAAACAAATTGATAGATTGGGTTTAGTGTAAAACTTACCCGAAATAGAAACTTAGGGTTTCTTTCATTTGTAGTTTGCAGGCTTCACTACTTAGTCTCATTTAAACAAATTACTTGAATGGAAGTAGAAAGTTTGCTCGTTTTGCTCATTGTTTGGCAGATTAAACTCACTCTGTTGATTTTTTCTTTGTTTGTTGTTTTTTTGCTCATTAGTTGTTTGATAAAATGACTCAATGAACCTCTGAGCTTTTATTTAACGATATTTCCAAACACTTGGTATTATAGTATCTATTTGTTTATCACAAAGCTGTTGTTATCACAAAGCTGTTGACTTTTCTGTTTAATATTTAGTTTGTTTCATCTCTTCAGTGTTTGACATGTTCCTTGTTTTCTTTTGTGTCTCACAGACCAGATCTTGCAAAAAGAGTTGGACGTTTTGACATACAGAGTTTTAGCCTACCTTCTACTTGGTGTGGTTAGAATATATTCCAAGAAGGTCGACTTTTTGTTCCATGATTGCAACAGAGCCTTGACCGGTGTAAAGGAGTTTGTGGCTAAGGAGAAGAACAGAGAACACACAAATGTGCCTTTACCTGTTGCATCTACTGGTTTTTTGTCAATTGCTTTGCCTGAGAGTTTCGAACTAGATGCTTTTGATCTTGGGGTTTTGGAAGATTTTCACGGGTATTATACTTGTTAATCCTGTTCAGTAATGTACTTCGTCGAGATCATTCTTATAATCTCACTTTTTTGTTTCTTCTTCTCAGGGGTAATGTTAAGCCTCAGGAAGATATTACACTTAAAGAAGGTAATTACAACCGACAATTAACAACTCTTTTCAAGTTAATCATGTAATTTATACCACTCATTGCGATGAAACAGATGGAGGTGCTGGTCGGGATACAGAGAGCATGGACCGGTACTACATGGAAAGGGTATGGCTTCTCACCTGACTGATAGAATTCTGAGTATAATATATATTGACATTGTTGCTGAACCGATTCCTCTTTGATCACTTGTATACAAGTAGAAATATATGTACTGAAGATACTAATTTGTGGAGTTGCAGTTCGACATGGAGGAGGACCTCCTGTCTACGTTTCATGAAACTTTTGTTACCGATCATACTGATACTAGACAGTGAGTATGATAATTTCGGCTCTGTTTACATGTGATCAACAGATACAGGCTCAATTTTCTTTGTTATATCTGTTATTGCAGTGAGAGCTCCGCCCATGATATGGACATAGATGCAGAAAATGACAGATATGCTAGTGGAGAAACATCAGTCAGAGTTGTTGAAGCAGAACCACTGAACTCTAACAAATCATCCCAAACTGCATCTAGGCATGGGGAGGATCCAGAATCAGATGACATGCTTGTGGAACCGCAAGTATCTGAAGATATCATAAGAGCACAAGAGGATGCAACAGCTAGAGAAACCATATGTACAAAAGTGCAGAGAGTAGAGGATCCACAATCAGATGACATGCTTGGGGAAGTGCAAGCATCTGAAGATATCAGAACAGCTCAAGAGGAAGAAACAGTTCGAGAAGATCCTCACGAATCCCCAGGAGATAATCTACATAGAGACGGGCACAGGGGGAGTTCAGAATCAGGGAAAACATCGGTGGAAACAAGTTGGGAAAAGACGCCTCATGACGGGTGCCTACCATCTGAATGCAAAAGTCCTGAAGAGATTCATGGGAGTGAGGATCAACCTTCTGGCGCCTCAAGAACTGATGTGGAGAAAGAGATCCCGGAGACGAGTACTCGAGAAGAACGAGAACCATCTGTCAGTGAAAATAGAGACTTTCCTGAAGGCATAGAGAAACGTCGAGGACATAATGATGAGGAAATGACAGACACTGATATGTTTCATGGGTCTCGTAAAGAGCCATTTGAGACTCCTTCAGTGAACCAAGTTGGACACAGTGTTACCGAGAAAGGTTTTCTCTCAGACGTTACCTTTCCAGAGGAGTGGAGTAAAGTATCTAATGCTAAAGATACGCCAGTTGCTGCTACTCCCAAACCAGCCTCTTGGCTGAACATCTCTGAAGGTGGAGCCTTTTTACAAAGAAGAACACCAGGAAATTTCATTTAGTTATGTTTTTAATGTGTTAGCTTATTTACAGGGGAAACAAGCCATCAGTTTTCGATCATTCCAACGCCGGTTGGAAAGGAGTCTTCTCGGGTTTCAAGGAAGAGAAAATGTCTAATAGATGATGAAGTGATGATTCCGAACAAGTAAGAGATCTTTTTGTAACCTTGTATTTTTATATTCATCTGCAGAGTTCCTTAATCCGTACAAGTGCGTAACGTTTAGGTGCTTCCCCTTTACTGTAGAGTCATGAAGAAGATGATCGAAGACTCAAGTGCATTGGTTGCAAAGCGGAGAAGAGTTCCTTATACTGACTATCCTGAGAAAAGAATCAAACGTTTTACCGATCCCTCAAGATGTTCCTGGGACCCTTTGATTCCATGTAAGTGAAGCTGCAAAATTCGCTGGACCTTTATTTCAGATTGTATTGCTGTGTTTGTTGATTGTTATAATCCTGTCACCAGATGGTTCTGTGGACCTCCACTTACTCTTTTGTCAACCCATCAAGCTTAAAGAACAGAACACCACAGAAACTCCTAAAGCTGCTAAAACTGCTGGGCGAATAACAAGGTCTTCACGTAGAACAGTAGGAGATGTTTCTTCTTCAGAGCAGATTGAGAATGGTCGGGAAATTATGGGGACTCCTCAGGCTGCTGCTCTTCCTGAGCTGAAAATTACTGTTCCAGAGACTGTAGAAAATAATAATACAGAGGTTTCAGCTGAGACGGAAGCTAGTTTCGTAGCTGCTGGAAGTTCTCATCCAACGAATGTTCCTCCAGAGACTCCAGCGAAGCCTGCGGAGCCAGCACATCTTGCTCCAGAGACCCCAGCAAGGACATCAGAGCTAACAGAGATTGCTCCAGAGACACCAGTAGTCTCTGAGCGAGTAGAGATTGCTCCTGATACTCCGGTGAGGGAATCTATGTCGGAAAGATATTTCAAAGACCATGAGACCTGTGAACAAGAAACAAGACCTGAAAACTCCTTCACCTCCTCAAACGAGCGCCTGTCAGAATCTTGTGAGGTTAGAAGGGACCTTGATGCAATTTTGATGAACGAGGAGGTACTATTCCATTTCATCATCTGACAGTTGCAAAAGAAACCTTTTATAAACAGCTGTAGTCGTATTAAGTTACAGAATTGATCATTTTTGTTTTTGCTTCTGCTTCAGCAGGTGAATGCACATGGGACAGAGGACCTGCAACAAGGTAAACCGTCTTCTGCTCTTATTCTTATATTGGAAAGCACCCAATTTCTTGGAAGAAAAACTATAGGGTTGATTAGTTTCACAGAAATCTATGAGGACTTGGTTTGATACTTTTTGAAAATATATAGTTTTTGAAAGTAGCTTTTAGTGAAAAGTTTCAACCATAAAATAGACAACTTATTGTGGGATCAAAATCTTATTGTTTTGTTGTTTGTTGCATGTTGATGCGTTTCGTTGTACTGTGTTCTTATGATGTATGTTTTTGATTTGCAGAGACATGGTCAGCAAGAACAAGGTTGGTAGAGCCACACCTTTGATCGCAGTATCTTTCCTTTGCACATAATTTCAGATAAATATTCAGATTTTCTGATTATGGATGGTACAGGAGTGTTGCAAAATTCCTGGAGAAGACGTTTCTGGAGCAGAGGGAGAAAGGAGAAGAAGAAAAGGCAAGTTTATTACACCTGTGCAGGGGTAGAACTCAGAAGGAAAGCGCAAGACTCTTCTACGAGACTTTGGTATGTTACACCTAGTTTCTTGGTCCGGTTTATCTTTGTGGGTTTTAAGGTTTTTCGAGTTATGGAAACCAACTGATTTGATATTGTGGCGAATTACAGGTGTTGAAGACGAAAGGTTACTTAGAAGTGAAGCAAGATCATCCATATAGTGATATTCTTCTCTCTCGCTTCACCAGACAACAAGAAGCTTGTTGAAAAGCGCTTAGTTAGATTTCTTCCCTCCAGTGTAGGTTTTTCTAAGAAGCATATGTGAATCAAAGTTGTTAGGTTTTTGGACTTTTAGCGTTTTGTCGTTAAAATCTGTAGACTTGTGGAGTGTTCAGTGACATGAATCGACCTAGCTGCTGATCTAATCAAAGTTTTTGGAGACAGTTTAATAGTGCAGCTTATAAAGTATTTTTAAAGACTTAGGTTTTGGGACAACAGCCAGAAGATGACATGCAAAAATTCTAGGTCACGTTAATAAACACATCTTTCTCACGGAAAGTGTTCAAGAGATCCAATCAAACTAAATATTTAACAGCATCTCCAAATGTGTTTTTTGTTAACTCCAATTGTAACACCAAACTAGATTTTGATTAGCACGGAAATACACATTTTTGTTAACTCCAATTGTAACATCAAACTAGATTTTGATTAGCACGGAAATTTTGTATGATTAAAAATTTATATAATTAGATTTTGTCTTAATTTAAAGAATGTTTTGGTATAAAAGCAGTTCACTAAAATTTGTGGTGATGATTGATTTTCATTAGGTTTTAGTTTTATTTTTACTTTTAGATATTTTTTTAGATTTTGGTTTTTAGTTTTAAGTTTGGAAGAATTTGAAAAATACTCTGTATATGAATTTAAATTTGAAAAGTACATTGGTTTTATTTTTTTTTGAAAACTACACTTTGATGTATGTGATAAGACATTTTTGACCAAATCTGAATTAAATATTATATTTTAATAATTCAAAAATATGTACATAAGTCACTTTTATATATTTAATATTAACCTTATAGATAAATCTTTACTGATATTTTAAAGTTATCCGTACACATAATTTTATAAATCTTATATACAACATAAATTTACGCAAGAAATTTATCACTTTCTCTAATAGTAAAAAATTTAACATATGAAATTTTTTTATCTGTTGAATGATGATAGAGATAAAACGAAGGAAAACATAATGTCAGAAGGTACAACTAATTTAATTTGAGAGATAAAAGATGCATGACGTATCAAGTCTGTTAGTAAATTTCAGAATATTGCCAAAAGCTTATGATTCTTATCACACATAATCTAAAACAAATTGCAACAAGCCATCGTCTTTCACATATCAAAAGATAGCTGCAACGTAAAAACAAGTAATTACTATGTTTATTAAAGAAGTAAAGTTTTATAAACTAAATACAAAACAATTATAAATCCAAAAAAAGTTAAACATAGTTCAAAGTTTAAAAAAACAGCAAAAAAAAAAACAAATTGCTATGCTTATTGATTACGGATATTTTTCATCTAGAAAACATTTAATTTAATTGTTAATTTAAATATTAATTTTGAACTCCAGTTATTCATCAATTCTAATTAGGATAACTTAGTCATTTTACTTAAGAAAAAGTGTAGTTTTCAAAAGAATTAAAACACAGTGTAGTTTTCAAAATAAATTCTCTTTCTAAGTTATTTTTCCAAATTTTCCCTTTAAGTTTCTATTTGTAATTTTCAGCTTTTAGTTTGAGTTTTAATTTTTAAATCCACTGAATTAGTTTAAACTGATATTACCAACAAACAAATCTCAAATAATCGAACATTTAATTTAAAACTAAAAAGATGACAAAAACAATTTCTAAATAATTGCAATAGTTTATTTTGTAAATAAACAAAAGCGTTTTCAGCTTTTGGTTTTGGATTTTATTTTTTAGATTTGGTTTTTGGTTTTGTTTTACATTTTTTTAAATTAGTAAATTATTTAAGAAAAGTAAAAAAAAAACAATTATTTAAAAGTTACCATTAAAATTTATCAAAACAAAGTGATTATTATTTGAAATAAAAAATACATTAACATGTTTAAAAGTAAATGATTTAAATAAATGATTAATAAAAGAAAATTTTGTTTTGTTAAAAATATTAAATACCTTTTGGGTTTGAAAGTAATAATTGATTTGTTTGATCCATTACGGTGAAAAGTTTATTCAATTGTTTTTGGAGCTTTTCCTTAATATTAAGCCCAAAAACTAAACCATATAATTTGTTCTAAAAACAAAAGTAAGCACAAGACTATATCTCATAAATAACCATCAGTTTAATTTAAGTAATGCAGTTCAGTTAACTATATGGCTTGTATTATTTGTAACATTTTAGAAGGAATCCAAATTTAAATGACAACTTGTATTAGTAGATAAAAAGAAGGATTTTATTTTAATAGAGTAGATATTACAGCAAAAATAGTATTATATATTATTTTTAATATTTTACACTTTTAATAATTTTATATTTTTATTATTTGTAATTGATAAAGAATTATTGTATTATACTTAAATATTATGTTGGTAAATTTGTGTAATTTTATGTTTATCAAATTAGCTTACATTTGTTTTTCGGTTTAACAAGATTATACTTTTATGTATTTATTTTATATAAAATATTTTATTAAAAATTAAAAACTCTTAATAATGAAAAACATACGAAATACATATTTATTTTTAACAATAAATATTCTAACAATGTAAAAATAATTTAAAAATAAAAATTATACAGTATATTTATGTTTGGTTATAGGTTTAAACTAATTAAGAATAATAATTGGACTATATTATTAAAGGAAACATAATAAAATATGTATATTAAATATTTGGTGTGATAAATAGTATTACATCAATTTTGATGTAACATTATTAACTCTACACTAAATTTAATGTAATACTATTCACTTTACACTAAATTTGGTATAACAATATGCATTCTATATAAAATTTTGTGAAATGGTATCATTTTTAGTGTCTCACTGAAAAAAAATTACATCAAATTTGATATTTTGGTGTCTCATTAGAATTGGCAAAAGTGAGTTAATATTAGGAACGCCAGATCTAAATTAGAGTATTTGTATTAAATCTTAATACATATACTCTAATTTGAGAAATTCTCTTGGATAGATCTTGATGTCTGCTCAAATATTTATCCTAAGGAACAACTTACTCTCTCAAATAAGAGATCTATTGCAGTACTCATGGTATCGACTCCACAATAATCTAAGAGAATATAAATAAAAAAAGCAGGAAACAAGTAAACATAAAATATTCCAATTAAGCAGGACAATTACTTAATCGAAAACGAAATAAAGATTCTTGGAACTAAAATGGAAAAAACGCTAGACTTAGAGTTATTATTCAAGTATTGCAATTATAATCATATAAGAGCTATTCAGTTGTTTGCAAAGTACTATAAAGCATTAAATATTGAGTTATTCTTGTGTTCACCCCCTAGGGTGAATCTCTAGGTTCACCCCCTAGGGTGAATCTCTAGGTTCACCATCCAATAAGATTTCACTATTTCATATTTGATATCTTTCAAAAAAGGAAACAAAATCTTGTTAAGTTATATTATGTTTTTAAAAATAAAAATACAAAATAAATAAAAAATAATAATAATTAATAAAAACGAAAATGATCTTTTTTTTTAAAGAAAATATGTTAACACTAAACCCTAAACTCTAATCCTAAAACCTAAACCCCTAGGTAAATCATAAACCTTTGGATAACTTTTATAAAAAAAAAAGTTCTTTAAAAAAATGTTTTAACACTAAACCCTAAAATCTAATCCTAAACCCTAAAACCCTTGGGTAAATCATAAACACTAAACCCTAAACTCTAATCCTAAACCCTAAAACCTTGGGTAAATCATAAACACTAAACCCTAAAATCTAATCCTAAACTCTAAACTCTAATCCTAAACCCTAAACCCCTGGGTAAATCATAAATATTAAATTTTTAAAACACTATAAGATTTATCTAAAGGTTTATTATTTAACCATGGATTTAGGGTTTGTGATTATAGTTTAGGGGTTAATGATAAAATATTTTCTTTAAAAGAATTATTTTCGTTTTTATTTATTATTTATTTATTTTCTATTTTTATTTTTAAAAACATAATATAACTTAATAAGATTTCTTTCCTTTTTAAAAAGATATCAAATATGAAATAATGCAATCCAATTGGATGGTGAACCTAGAGGTTCACCCTAGGGGATGAACCCAAGAATAAGTCTTAACTATTTTAATCAACAAATTCATTAAACTATCATTTGAATAAATAAGTCTAATGACTGGATAGTCGTACTTGACAGCATCGAGCGATTATTCAGTCGGAATATCGGCCGATACACTAAACTCATCCTCGATCAATTTTTGTCGGAATATCGATCGATCAGTCCGGTCGATCATTACACGCAAGTTAACATAGACTCACTAAAGACTTCTAGATCAGATTGTCGCTGTATTTCTAGCAATCCTAGCTTAATATGGATGTGTTCATGATTATCAGAATTGCTTAAATGTCTCTAATCCAACCTAAGTAATCCAAGATTCTATGTTTCTAGTTAGCTACTCTAGAACCATGAGCGTTTAAAACATCATATTAATGAATACCACAACTAGCAATCTTATAGTTGGGGATAATCCCTCAAATCTATTTAAACCCTAAATCTAACAAGTAAACTACTCAGACATAGCTAAGCAGTTCATAACACCAATAGATAAATAAAACTGCATATTATAGATAGATAGGTAGAAAATACTAGAGTTCCAATCACAAATCTTTCTGAGGATCTTCTCTCCAAACTATAAACTCTAAAACTTTGATGTGAAAAGAATACAAAAACTCTCTCTCTGCCTCTAACACTTTGGCAGAGTATATAAACTTAGATTAAAACTCATTAGGGGTAAAATCGGCATTTGGTGATGATTGGGCTTCAAGTTAACTTTTCTCGCGAATTGGCCTTTGTGTCTTGGTAATTGATCGATCATGCAAGGTGCATGTTGATCGATTCGAGTCGCTCCGTGTCGACCTCGTAGTTGATTCCAAATCGAACGCTTCTTCCAATTTTCTCTAAAATGCTCCAAAAACATCACTTTCTTCCAAAATACTCATGAACTCATAAATATGCTTAAAAACTTCTATAGTATAATAAATAATAGTAAAAACACGAGTATACCATGACTAAAAACATGTCAAAATCATGGTATATCAACTTCCCCAGACTTACCTTTTTGCTTGTTCTCAAGCAAAACAAAATGCAGTCTCTCTGAAAGAGGTTTGAAAAGAATAAGGACTCACAGATTTAAGAACTTTGAAATCATGACCTCTATAATACTGATATCCACATCTAAGAAATTTTAATCACAGAAGTTCATTATGTCATATCCTAGCATAGTAACCAGATTCATCTAGCCAACAACTTAGCAAAAACTATCTCACATTCCCCTCAACTATCCTCATTTCTTAACATAAAATAAAAGTGTAGACTTTACCTTGGAGTATCGATCACATGA